CACTACTAGATCAGACTCGTAGTGATTCTCCTGTTTATAGCCTCCCAAGTGCTGGGATTACAGGCCGAACCACCATGCCCACTCTCAAGTGCCATCTCAGCACGCCCAGGGGTGGGAGCAGGGCAGGCAATGCAAGCTTGAGGACAGAACTCCCGGCCCCTGTGCCTGCTTGCAGGCACTTTAATCTGCTGAGCTACTTGGCCAGCCCTAACACAGGTAAAAGTCCTGAAGACCCAGGCATAGGCACAGACTTTCTAAACAGAGCCCCAGCTGCACAAGGGGAACTCCCAGAGTCAATAAATGGTATCATATAAAGTTGAAAGCTGGGCTGGTGAGACAGCTCAGTGGTCTAAAGCACCTGCTTAGGCAAGCATGCAGGAAACTCGGTTCGATCCCCAGCACCACATGCCATGCCAGCCCCGCCCCCAGGGTGGGCTGAGCTGACCAAAAAAAAAAAGAAAAACTAAGGAAACCTTAAGAAAAAAAAAAAAGTTGAAAGCTTCTTCACAGCTAAAGAAACAACAAGGAGTGAAGAGACAACCTACAAAACAGGAAAAATATTTTGCCACCTATTCCTCAGACAAGACCAATATCCAGAATACATAAAAACTCTAAATAAATAAATAAATAAGACCTCCCAGAACAAAAGAACCAAAAAAAAAAAAAAAAAGGGCAACTAGGAGGGACAGACACTTCTCAAAAGTACAAATTGGCAGTGAATACACAAAAAAAATGTTATGTCTCTGGTCATTAGAGAAATGCAAATTAGACACTAAGATTCCATCTTACTGCAGAAGAGTGGCCGTCATCAAGATCAAACAGTGACAACTGCTAGCAGGGCCACAAGGAGGGAGCGGCTCCAACTTCGCTCTGAAGAGCGGCGCTATGGAGCAGTGCAGGGCACAGCAAGTCGTGGGCAGAACCCATATTTATTTCACAACTGGACTCCAGGTGGGGGCAGCAGAGCACGCAGTGGGTGAGGCCAGCCAAGGAGACTCCAGGAGGCACGTGCAAAGGCGGGAGGCAGCCTCAAAAGCACAGAATCTGCTGCAGTTGCCACACGTAGGGAAAAACTTCTCTCCAGAGACAGGGAGCCCACTACCGTCCACATGAAGGCTGTGCAGAAGGAAGGCCCGCTGAATGCACTGCTGGCAGAGGAGCGTCACTGTTCAGGGGCAAAGACACCCTGAGTGCAAAGAGGAAGAAAACCTGAGAAAAATATGGGTAGTCAGAAAGAAAAAATAAAAGAGCTCTTTCTTAATTCCGGGGCAAGGGCACAGAGGTCAGAGACGTGAAGTCCCAGCTGGACCCCAGTGCCAGGGAGGCCTGCAGTCATGGGCCCAGTTCAGCAAAGGTCCGTAAGCCCATTCAGGGACGCAGAGGAGAAAGCAGAGCCTGCCATATACTCCATGGGACCCAGTGCCACGTCTGGATGTGCTCCAGGAAGCAAAGGTGCAGTGCTGCACCAGGCACAGGACCTTGTCCTGGAGCATCAGCGTGCCCTGCAGCTCCAGGAAGGACACGTGTGGTACCTTGGTGTCAGCCGGGTAGCCTTTCAGGCACATCAGTAACTTAGCTGTGCAAGAATAAATCTGTGTTCTAAGCCATTCCATCATTTACTTTCTAATCACTGGGACAAAATAGCCAACACCTGAAACTTAAGGGAGGCGGCAGTTATACAGCTCACGGTTCCCGCGGTTTCAGCAGATGCCCAGCCAGCCGGCTCCAAAGCAGGGAAGCAGGAGCACTGGCGCACGGAGGTCAGCTGGCGAGGAGTGGAGAGAGGGGACAGGAGCCGGGCCCCAGCCGTGCCGCCTCCCAAGAGCACGGCCCGTAGCGAACACTCGCAGGAGCACAGCACCTCGACCTGCCCCCTGCCAGGGCCCACAGGTGAATGCGGGAGGCTGCAGGGACAGCTCAAGTGGGACTGTAACCTGCGGCTGGATGCATTTCACAAACACACAGGCACCACAGAATCACTCTGTTGTTTGAGGCCATCAAGTCTGTCTCTGTTCATTTCTAACAGCAGCCGCTGGAAACAAATCTCCCCAGAAGGATCAGTGTTGCTCCCTGAAGTACTGCTCAGTGTTCCCTTCACACACTTGACGCAGTGACCTCCAAACACTGGCTTCAAAGTACTCAATCCGTGCTTTGTTATTCTTGGGGCTATGAATATTTTATACACAGAAGTAAGTAAAGGGCATTTATTTGGCCTGAATTTCTTATTCAAACTCTTTTCCTATTGTTCTAATTTGCCTTTTTGTTATTGATTAGCAAGAGTTTTGGATGTTATCATCATACATTGCAAAAATATTATTAGCATATTAAAATATGCTAATATGCTAATTGAAATTCCTTACCAAGCACGAGAAAACAAAGTCTCAAGGGAAACATACTCAGCCACCCCACAGGCAGGGCCCTGAGTGTCTACAGGCCAGGACGGAACCCAACTGCTCGCAGCCAGCCGCTTCCCACACGCGGAGTGGGACTGCAGTCAGTAGCTCCCTGTGCTCCCTGAAGCCTGCACATCGAGCGAAGGGCTGTCCGGAAGCATTAGATCCACGTGTTCTGGCTGAAACACAGCGTGCAGCCCAGGGCCCCGCGTGGCTGCCCGCCGCAGGTGCTGCAGACACGGACATGGGGCAGCCAGGGTCAGAGGCAGTCCTGACAACGACGGCAGGGTGACCAGTGCACCGCCCACACATCCCTCCACACCAACGGGGAGGCAGACGTTCCCTCCTCATTCCCCTGCTGCGCTCCTATTCTTTTCAACAGATGACTAGCATGGAAGAATAACAGTTCTGGTGCGGGAACAGAAGGCATGAATACGGCCTAACATGACTCCTGTTTTAAAGTGAATATAGGGCCAGTGAGATAGCTCAGCAGTCTAAAGCACATGTTGCACTAGCCACGCCTTCAGGGTGGCCTGAGCCAGCTTAAAAAATAAATAAAATAAAAGTAAAGTGAATATAATATTAAGGTTTTTGACACTATAACAAGACTTACTTTAGGTAACAGTTCTGACATTGAATCAACATATTTTGTGGGTAGTAAGCTATTTTAAGCAAAATGCATTTAGAAAATAGCAATAACCAAGGCTTGAAGTATTAAGGGACAAGGCACACGCCCGTCTGGCCACATCAGCCTGCCAACACAACACCAATGGAAAGCCAGGAGCCGTGTAAGATGATGCCTTCATCTTAACAGGTAAACACGCATCACATTGTTTAAGACTAAATTGAAGAAGTATGACTTCGGCTTGTCTGCTTCTTGTTTTTTAAAGGTATAATCAAATGAAAGTATGTTCGAAGCAAAATTACTGATAATTTTACATGTCATAGACCAACAACTGCAACTCATTTCAACTGCTTTAAAGAAAAATTAGCTTTAAAAAAAAAGGAAAAATTAGCTTAACAATGAAGACACAAGTTATACTGTCTTTACTATTTTTAATTAATCTCAGTTGTGATTCAAAGGGAAAGAAAACAGGAGCATCTTTTCTAGACAAGACTGTTCCCAGATCAACTGTCTTCATTACTCTATGGTACCAAGAAAATGTCTAATAAATAATAATCACTTATTCTATTAGTCATCAGCAATTAAAAATTATTAAGCATAAAACAAATTTTTCCTGTTTTTTTCCCTTTGGTAACTTCAAGAAAGTTTGGAAAACTTTTCTTATGGAAAATAACAGGCCAATACAGTATAACCATCAATTATAGGTAACCAGCATAATACTAGATTTAAAAGTACAAATTATGCTTTCTTAGAATTTCTAAAATACGTGCAGCACAGCAAAATTAGGATGAATTTTGAAAAGTTTTACTAGTTATATCAGTCATCTCAATGAAGGGATTGGGCAATTTAAAAAAAAATCTTAAAATATTAATAATGACATAGGTACATATAAAAATAACCGTACATAAAAAATACTTCAATCACAATTCTGAATAAACATAACACGGTGAACAAATCCATTAGCATAAATGCATTTTTTTACCAACTGGAAGTATGCCATATATAAGCAGGAAATATATTTTATTGTAAAGGTGAATGTTACAAAGGGAATCAAAGGTAGAACAAAGTTTACTGATCTTCACAGACCATACTCATTCCATTATGTAAATTTACTGTACTTAAATAACCAGAGGTTTGCCCAGCAACAAGACATCGTCCCCGCCGACTCTGTCTCCACGGCATACCTAAAATGAACGGATCTGCCTATCACCTGTGAGGCCGGGCAGCAAGAGGTGAGGCTGCGGGCAAGCAGCAAGCAGCGGGCTAAGCTGTGTGAAACCCTGCCTGCCCTGGGGGGTGGGGGAGGAGAGACCTGCACTGCAGCCAGCTGGCTCCTGCAACGGAGCTGGCCCTGGCCCCAGCTCCTGGCCTCCTTCAATCTCTCCGTGGTACAAAGCAACAGTTGCAACACCAGGCAACTGGCAGTCATCTGGGTAATAAAAGTCTGGATTCTAACGCAGGTTAAGCCCACAAAGTGGTAACTCTCCATCACACATAACCCACACTCTAGACATAGATGACACTGACACAAGCACATAACTGGGTTTTAATGAAACCCACGGCACAGGATGTGCATTATATCCAGCACTGAAATTAGTCTCCCGAACGCACAGAACATGCAATGAATTAGGAAGAAACTGCATTTTCTATGAGATAATACATTCTTTGTTTTGTTTTGGTTTTTTTTGGCAGAACTGGGGATTGAACTCCAGCCCTTGTGCTTGCCAGAGAAGCACTGAATCCACTGAGCCATCTCCCCAGCCCCGATTCTTTCAGTTTTTATGGAATATAACTTTCTATGCCAGGAAGAAAGACTGAAAATATCACTATTTTAAAAATTACTTCTTCAAGGGGCCGGGGAGATGGCTCAGTGGAATAAGCACTTCCCTGACAAGCGCAAGGGCCTGAGTTTAATCCCTGGTTCCTCCAAAGAAAACAAATAAAAATTACTTCTTCAATCACAGTCAAATATTTACACTTACCCCGTTGAGCAGCAAACTCCTGACTAGCAGAAAGGACTTTTGGATTATACCTTGTTCCCTCTGGAAAAATCACAAGGTACATCTGCGGAACACAGAAAACAGCCAGTTTGATTTGGCGAGATTTGTCACGATTGTCCTAAACTGATCGATGCTAATGGCATTAATGCTAATAGTCACTTGTTATAAACTTGGTCACGAAATGCTCACCAATAATTAACAAAACAGCCTTTCTCCTGTAAGGCCATGTAAC